GAAAGAGAGATGGAGGTGGAAAGGTAGGGATTATACTGTGTATGGTGGGGGTGGGATAGAGGGAGAGAGAGGGGGAGACAACGGCTGAGACAGAGAAGGACAAATGCAAAGATGAGAGAGAACGGAGAGGAGGCAGACAGAGGGAGGGAAATGAGAGCGGGAGAGACGGGGGGAGGAGGAGGAGAGATGCTGCATTTTAGTGATAGCACAGACTCAGCCTGCAGGAGCAGAGAGAGGGATGGAGAGAATGGATGGGAGGTAGAAAATAAGAGAGAAGCATTGTCAGAGAGAGAGCGAGCACGACAGGATCCCCACACAGGTAACAATATTAAATAGCTATAAATTAATGAAATATTGATATAAGCTCATTTGAATACTAATAGTTTTGACCGATAGAAACCGGAACAGGCCTTTTCTTCCACTGTGTCAGATTTTCAGGATGTTATTCGAGAGCTGTCAACCTGTCAAACCATCCACAAATCTATTTTCCCTCTGCCCATCTACTCATCCCTCCATCCGTTCACTCATTCTTTCATTCTTCTCCCCTCAACTGACAAGGTCCTCCTCTCACTTCACATCCATAATTATAATCATGTCTCCAACCCTCCCACACACAAGCTCTTCTCCATGACCGCCTCCTCCTCCTCCTCCCTGGCCCCTCCTCTCACCCTCCATAACTCTTCTGCTGTCACTACCATAGATCCAAAACCTCTCGTTTTAAATTCATCACCACCACCTTCTCCTTCTTCTTCTCTTCCTCATCTCTGCTGTTGTACTTTCAAGGGACATTTTGTCACTGTTTTATCCTTTGTTGTTTCTTTTCCAGAGTGTGACAAGTGGGACTTGACAAAGCAGCAGGAGCAGAGATTAAAGAGAGAAAAAAGGAGTAAACTTGCGTGACTGATCACAGCCAGTGAGAAGACGTTTCCCGCTATAAAAGGAGAAAGAAAGTCATCTGGAACCAAACTAAGAGAGTACTAGCAGCAGCAGGATCACAAAGAAAAACTGAGGAAAGCACTTCAAGGCAGACTATAGCATCTGTTGTGCAAAGTGTGGATCTCTCTTTCCTTTTTCTCTCTGCTTGACTATCTATCCGCAGGCTGTCCTTCCATCTGTCTCAGCGGGATGCAAAAGTGCAGTTTTGGTGTTTGGTACAAAGAGAAATGCTGAACGCAACCTGATGTGTTGTTCTGGAAGGAAAAGGGAGGAGAGACAGCAGCATGACTCACACAGCAGCTAGGATATTGTGCATTCTACATGCAAGAGAAGAGGGAGAGGGAGACAAAGGAACAATGACAAAGATAAAGGGAGAAAAATAGAAAGCGAATTGACCAGAACTGAGCAGTCATTAGACAGATGAAGGACGAGATGAGGACAGAAGCAGCCGCACTGGCAAGTGTTGAGTGAGATATAGGCCAAGTGAGTCAGCTTGCTAGAGGGAGAGGGTGGCGAGAAGAGGGCGAGTTTCAAAAGTAGAGGGTCTGGTATGACCAAAGCTGGTCGAGGGAAGGTTGAATGAAGGTTTTCTGCAGGGTGGAAAGTGGACACAGAACTGCAAAGAACAGAGAGACAGGTTTAAATGAAAAAAACTACTTGGGGAACACTCCTGAGTAAATGTGTCTTGCTACAGGGAGAGAACATGACTGAGGAGCAAGGAGATAAAGAAGAGACAAGGCTAGGTAAGAGCAAAAGTGAACATCCAAGCAGGACAGTAAGAGAGTTGAACTGAAAACATCACAACACAGAGAACTTCCAAAGCACAACGGTGGGGAATGGAAACTTTAATCGTGACAGCAACACAGCAAAAGGTTCCTGTTAAATATTGATGCTGACAGGCCACACCGGGAAGAGCTCGCTCCTTGCACCAGGGAGCAGGAAGCTGAAGGCAAAAATTCTGTTGTTTTAGATGCATTCTACAGGAATTTTACACTGGAACAGACAAGCTGTTAAACGGCATCAGATGACAGGCGAGTGTGGTGAAGTCATTGAAATGCTGTAAATTAAGAAAAGGCCTACAACGAGGTTTGATTCATCTTGCTGGAGGTTTTTTTTTGTCCAGCTGTGCAGAGTGGAAAGACAAAGACTACAGAGAGAAGAACAGCAAGAAAAAGAAGAATCAATATTTGAGAGAACATTGAGACCACATCAGGACTAGGGTGGTTTCTGTTCCAAAAGAGAAAAAGAACTAGAGTTGGCTGCTCAGTACAGATTTATATTTTAGATCGACGATGAGAAAAACTAAACACCACTGAGACATTGGCTAACTATTGTTGTTTTGGTCTTGGACTGATTGGAACTACCCCAACTTTCTGAAAATGGCCTCATTACAAAGACTTAGCCAGTGGAAGTCTGTTGTCATGACTTGAGGAAATGACTAAATAAAGTCACAATGGTTCCTCATGTCAGGGTAGAGACATTAAGGTAGAGACTGCCTTCTCTCCGACCCGAATCCTGAAAACATCACACGGTAACGCAGGAACAGATCTGGTCTATGTGTGTGTGTGGCTGTGTGGGGGTGTAAGGGCTGTTGGAGGAGCTCAGCTGTGTTCGTGCATATGCTTGTGTAGGTCTGGGTATAGAGGTGTGTGTGTGTGTACACTAAGCTTTGAACCCAGGTGTATCTAAGTGTATTTTCAAAGTATCGCCCAGAGCTGTGTGTGCTTGTCTGTGTGTGTTGCCTGGATTCTCCCAACCAGCGACGGAGCCAGACCTGAACAGCATTGGTGAGAGGGGGACGAAGAGGGAGAGGAGGAAGAGAAGAGGGAGGTGAAAGAGACCAGCAGGACAAAGAAGAAACAACCGACAACATGCTCGGGTAAAGAAGAGAAAGAAAGGCATCGTTGGCTGCCCCTCTGGTGCAATGTGTGGTGAGTACACATGTCTACATGTATATGGCTGCTATATGTGTCAGCGTCTGCATGTATGTGTGAGTGCATGGATGCTGTATATTCACCAACGAGCATCATATTCCCTCAGGAGTTTGGACAAGGTCAAAGGTGAAAGCTCAGCTAGAAAATGAGTTCACTCATTCAGTATTAGGGTATTAGGGAGTATTAGGGTAGTTCACGTTACTGGATGCAGGACAAATGCGTCCACATGATACACAGGTGCAATGAGTCAGATCAGGTTTTCATCTGCTGATTCACAGGTTAATGTAGATCACATGATACAAGTGCCCAGTGGATCACATGACATCCAGCCTGGCACCTGAATTAACTGTGATCATGTTAAACTATAAAAGATGCTTACAAGACTGTCCTCCTTTAAAATAAGACAGGATACATCGTCTGTGCCAACAGGTTATCACAACAAAAAGTTAACGTGTTAAAGTTTGGCGAAATCTAGCAACCATATAAATTATGACACAAGGAAAGTAGCAAGTAATGTGATGTATTATAAGGATGCACAAAGTTCACGTTAGGAGGAGGTTGAAGGAGTTTGCTCAGGAAAGTGGAGTTCGGTAGTTTGTGTGGCAAAATGTAATGAAGCCATAGCAATCATGTTTATGGCTGTTTCCATGGCTGTTTTCCATTCCAAGTACAGCAACTAATATTACAAACACAACCCAGCTTTGAAAGCGTTACCTTCACACTATACACAAACATAACTTTTGGGTTATTTCTATGTGTCCCGTGTCTCAGTGGCAGCTGGTGACCGTTTACCTGACTAAATAATCACACAGCAAGCATGAGACAGACAGAGATGAGAGACAGATTACCGGTATTTGTACATTTGTTTGCAAGTTATTTGCATATCAAGGAAGGACTCAATCTTTGTGCATACAAACATAATAATGGAATTAACCATTTGCTATGTTTGAGGGGTCAGATTCTTTCTCTTAAATAATTCAGTAAAGGTTACAGTCATCCATTCAACACCTAGTGAAACCACTATGGGGCAGGCTTTGTCGTTGTGCAGTATACAGCAGGAGAACTAGTAAAACCAGTGGTTCCTGAAACACACACTGCTTGTTAAAATTACTAGTATCCAATGTATACCTAAGGTGATGACACTGAAGAAACCCTTTATGCATTGTCAGTTGCTCATTAACAGCAATTAGAGTCAGTGTCAGTCAGTCAGAGTAAAAACTTACATTAAAATGAACAACCTAATGAACAGTACTGGATCTACTCTACCCACACTGATTGTCTGCATTTCTGTCTTGCATGTAAAGTGTGTTTAACTGTCTGTCTCTGCTGGTCCTTTATCTGTCTCATTATATATATGAGCTTATTAACATTCCATGTGATCTCTCCCTGGAGGCACATATTTAAAAGCTGTTGTCATCTCAAATAGCCTTTTGACTCATAACTACTATATGTTACCTTTGAAATTTAAAAGAAATTATTTAGTACATGAGTACTAAGACAGACAGGCTGTCTGGGACAGACAATATTCAATATAGAGGCTTGTGAAGACACTAATGCCAAATGAAGCAGTGATCAAGTGCCACAAAATAACAGCCCGAGGCAGGAAGTACTTTCCATCTACAAGTGTGCAGCACTGCGATTTCACCAAACTCGATATTATGTGTAAAAGATAACAATTTTATCAAATATTTGCAAAGTTCCTGGAGAATAATAGAACAATTTTCTTCTTGAAAGAATTCCGTTCAAACCTCTAGAGTTACCTTGGTAGTGAATCACACTGTAACCTCTCAAACTCAATGCATAATGCAGTGCAGATAGACCAGGTGTAGGGGATTTATATCCCACCTTATATAAATTCATTTGACAGTGGAATAAGCAGAGCAGTATTTGCACCAATTATGATGAATATTATACATGAGTTTCACAGCGAAGACTGCCATGCATTGCTCATTCAATGGGGGGAACCGTTGCTGTATTCCCCAGTGCTACTGTGTGCCTTTTACTGCAGAGCGCAGTGTCCTCATTATTTGGTTCAGAGCACGTTTAGAATAATGTTTACTGTTTGTAAAATTTTGGCAATAATTTGCTAAAGCAGTAGATTTTAATTATGATGACTTGATGACTCGTGTTTTTCTAAAGTAGTGCTTCGCTTGCATGAAAAAAACTGAAGTGAACATACAATCATAATTAGGGGCACAGAAGTCAACAGTGCAGGGAGAACTTTTTAACTAGCTCCCCAAGTGGAAATGGGGCCGCATGAATTTTAATCTGAAAATTCTGTAGTAACTGCAACAACAGTGGCAAACAATAATAATATTGCAGATTTTTATTATTGATGAATAATAAAACTAACAAGTGTTACAGCTCTGTGCTGGGAATGACCAAAATAGAATGGATGTATTCAAATATGAATCTGAACTGACTAGATGGTTGAGTTGCAGTTCATTATGATGTGTGTTCTTGAATGGGGGGAGGAGAGAGAAAAGAGAAAAAGTGTGTGCTCTTAGAATATCTTGAAATATATTTGGAACAGCAGTAGTGTATTTCTAAATAATACAACCGTTATGAAACCACACGTGCTGTTTATAGCGTGTATGTGAGAGAAAAACCATGTTTGTTTTAATTTGTAGAAGGGACTGCAAGGCTTCCACTGACTCACTCTCCCTCTTATTTTATATGCATACACATGCACATTCACACTGTAACATATTGAAATGTAAATGCTGCAACTGCCAAGTCCACACACATAAGGAAAAACAAGTGTCCTCTCTGATCACTGTCTAATTTCTATGCCCCCTCAAGTTAAAAGGTGATGAGACAAACATCTTGAATAAATGTGGTTCATGATATGGAACTTAATGGAACTTCATCAAGGATACCACCTGGTTGCACTCATAGGTCCTCAGATTTTGCAGTGTTTGATGATTAGTTTTACCGCCATGGTACCTCAGTGCTACAAATTGTAAACATTATTGTATGTTGTATTTTCTTACATTTGGTTTGCAAATGCTGTACATTTTGCCAACCACGTACCATAAATTTGAAACACTGTAATGTAAACTCATAGGACACATGTCAAATCTATATTGGGTTAGAATCAAATAAGCTCAAATTTATCTTGTATCTTTTGTACATTCCCTCATTATTTGCTACTCAAAAAAAACATGCGTTTTCTTTAATTGGGTTGGAAGTAATCATGTTACACTGCTGAATGGCTAAGCTGCACCAAAAGACACAGCTATGTCCCAGTCCTTGCTCTACAAACACATGCATGCACACGCACTCCTGGGCTGCCTGAGCAGCTGCTGGATTCACCAACAAAATGAGAAGACACAACAATACGTAGAGAGCGGAGTAAACGAAATAAGAGGTGTGCAGGAGAAGAGGGACTTCTGAGAATTAATCTATTTGTGGTGGACATCTGTGTGAATGCCTGTGTATACTTGCACAGCTGACTTTAACTACGCTGCGGCCAGGGAGAGGTTGTGACTGTGCATAACAATGCACAATTTAAGCTTATAATGTGTATGGTCTATGCTTTCATTTGGAGGAGATGATTCTTAACCAGCACAACTATTTGTGGACTGTTCAGTGCAGTGGAAATCTCACATCCTGTGTGAAGCCCACATGTCATACTCAATTTTGTGCATGTGCACACATACACAGATATAAATATGCACAGTTCATTTTTAAAAGATACCCCTGATCCCACATAAGTGCTAACGTTCAGTGACAGAGGGAAAAGGGAACAAACAGTTGAAGAGAAAGAAAGAAATATAAAATGAATTTTATAGATTTGGGATTTTGAGGAATTTTAGCACAAGCTTTAAATGAAATTTAATGACAAATTACAAAAGAAATACAGTATATCATCAGATGTTTTGAAGGAGTATAAACTTCTGGTGAAGATATGGATCAAACGGCAAACAAAGTCAAAGACTCATTCATTCTCCAATGACTTTTAACTTTTTATCCTTTAGTGATTAATATTCAATACCTAAATGCATGAAGCTAATACTTGTTCTTTGTGACTGAAAAGACAAGGCACCATTTTCAGTTACTCCCTCAGGTATAATTAACCTGTGTTTTTTCCATCTTTTCTCTCCCTCCCATTTCCTTTAACCTCTCTCCTCTACTTAAATTCCAATTTGCCCTCCCTTTCACCTCTGTCTCCATATCCAGGCGTCGCACCCTGTGGAGGTGGGGTTTTGTGATGGTAACCATGATCCCCAGCAGCCGCTATGTCTGCAGCGCTCACTCCAGAGAGGAGGACTCCACAAACGATTTCGAGGAGCGAATTTTAGCTGTGCTGGGCATTATCGGAACCATCCTCAATCTTTTAGTGGTCATATTTGTTTATATCTACACCTCCGTCACCTAAGGTTTCCTGGGACCAGAGACGCTGACACCATCACTGACTTTTCTCCACACCGCCACCACTCTCTTTAAGTATTTATAAGATGTGTGGATCACTGGCAGCATGTTCAGCTGGATAGAAGCCATATTTATGTACACCTGAATTACTACTTCTTCATAAGACATCTCTATTGTTACTTACAGACTGGTGCCAATCACAAAATCAGGGCTACAGGTGGAAACACCTGCACGCCACTGTTCACACTGAACTGTATCCTCACATTTTTCAAGACCGGTTCAATAACCTCAGTTAAATGACAGATGATAGTGTGTCCAGTCTGGTTATGATTACATGGCTCTGGCATAAGCTTCTCTATCACTGCTCAGACAGATGGAGTTCAGCTCTTACACTAAGTGTTTTGGAGCTGATGAAGGTTGAATTTGACTGTGCTGCATCTTCCACTTTGCTGTTTAACTCTGAAAGTATATGGCTTCTGTCAACAACCTTGCTCCTGTGTGGGATTAAAGACATAGTCACTGCCAGTTCAGCTTAACAGTCTGAAAGCACAGAGCTTTCAGTTAACTTGACCAAATTCGGGATGGTAAAGGGACCAAAACTGGGAGTTGAATCATCAGCAGAGGGACCCTTAGGCACCCTTAAATCCACTTGACTAGTACAACCCTACAAATGGTCAGGCAATCACTTGCGCCTTGCTAAATAGTTTCTGCAGTTATTAGAATCACTGAAAAGGTTTTACATGGACCCAACGTGTCCATACCTGAGCACACCAGAGGAGAGATTCCTGGCTGTGTTGGGAATTATTGGCATCTTACTCAATCTCCTGCTGCTTCTCTTTGTCTATGTATACACTTCCACCTGATGGGTGGTACGAGTTATGAGATAACTTACCCACAGTAACTGCACAGTGATCACAGACTATGCTCTTCAACCACTATGTATATATTGTACCTAAGTACAACCTGGTCCATAGCTGGTTTGATCATTTTCTAGGTGAGCTTCAGTGTCTAAAGACAGTGAAATTCTAATAAAAGATCTTGGTGAACAGAAGGTGATGAGAGAATGTAAAGGCAAAACTGTATACAGATTTCCTCACAGATAGATTTAAAAAATTCACTGTTTCTGTGGAAAACATGTCCTACAGTTAGTGTTTTTGTAGATACTGTAATCGCTTGCATATGTGCTTAATGAGATGTTTACTAAAGCTCATACTGGTATAATCAAATATTCTTAATCATACTTTGACCACAATAACTGATGTAAAGACTGTAATCTTTGCAGTATTTTGGTTTGTTCTTCAAGCATACTGATGTTGAAAACAGCCAGACATGGAACTGGATGCAGCAGCTCTGCACACTAGTAAAATGCCCTCTGTGAACGGTTGGTACCACAGAATAACAGCCTATTTTCTGGTGTCATGTTTCTTTAAGTCAGAAACAGAGCAACATCAGAGAGGGCAAAGTGTGGAACTGACACACTGTCACACAAATCAAGAGAGTGTGCTGTTGCAGTCCAATACAAAGAGATGCAATGGTAACAGAGAAAATGGAGAGAACCAGGGTGGACTGTCTGGAACGTGCAGACATAAAACATCTGTACGAGGCCTCGCCATCTGCCTCGAAAGTCATGAAGGCACAAAAACCTCCCTGGGATTGGTCTACAACATTTTTGCTAGTGCTGCATGTCACTGTGGATGTGAGTTTAGGTTTAAGCGCTGCACTTCTGATGGAGAGGTGAACCTAAATGCAGCTGACAAGCGAGAAGGAAAGACTGGTCTGAATCTCCACTTCATTCTACCCATTCTTTTTTCCACCAACAAGCTAACACCAGAAAAGACATAGTACTGAGAGGACCCACGTGAGTCTCTGCTGTTATTTGACATAGCACAATACTTTTATATATATATAAATACACCTGTGAGAAGGACTTTGTTTCATACACAATCAATTTGGGGGTCTGGGAAAGACGTGACAGTAACCAGTGACTGACTGCTCACTTAACATACTGCAATTTTATATACAGTATCAGCTTGTGTGAATACATTTTTGATAATCAGCGCATAACAGGATCCCTTGTTACATTGTGAATGTACAGCAAACGTGTATGTAAATAAAGTGGTAATGTAACTAATCTGGCTATCGGAAGCTGTTTTACAACTTGTACGATTATCTGACAAGTATTGTTTCTTGCCCCATTGGATCTACAGTACCTGTGTGTTCTGAGATGCCAGCAAGTGTGATGTTATGGCTGGAACCAATGGCCTGATATCTAAATAATAATAATAAAAAAAACAAAAACTGCACTTAACCCTGCAATTAAGTCTTAACACAGACATCCCTTTACAAACTGAGAAAAGGCTAAAAACTCCTCCACTTCCAAAATGTCCTTAAACCTCAAATTTACTTTCTCACAAAGATATAAATGCAAGCACACACACACACTAACTACTTGCATCTCTTTTCATGACAATAATTTTATATCTTTCACCACACATTAGGAGATTTGACTGTTAGCAAGCCCTGACTGATGTGACTTGCACATTTACTCCCTATCACATCTCATAACCGTACAGTGGAGTTCATTGAGCTAAATCCTTTTTAGGGTGCACCAAGGCAGAGTATGAAGCACCTTTGGTTTGGCAGACCTCTGCTGTCAGACTGCGCCACAGCTGTGCAGAAGTGCATTTGAACATACTTTGAAATACTTAAAAAGTACTGGATATATTTTGGGCCCACTTTGTGCCATCTCTGAAGGGTCACTGATGGTAGCAAACAAACAAAATGAACAAGCCTGCTCAACTGTTCAGATCAGGTTTACTTAGATACTTGGAGAGTTTTATTTTACAGTACTGCCTTCTAACAAGATGCCCTTTATAAAGGGTTTACAAGTTGTCACTAATGCCCTGTTAATAGTTAATCATTTACTGATGCTTTACAAATACCTTAAATACCAGTTATAAGACCTCCCTTGCAGTTGCCATGTTGTGAAAAATCTCTTTGGCTGGTGTTTATTGACTGTGTATTAAGAATTTATAAATTGTGATGAATTTATATTGGAAAATAAAAAGTCACATGCACTGATTAAGTGATTATCAACATGTACTATTACCAAATAAAGAAAGAACACCTACTTAGATGGAAGAAAAAAATTCTTTAAAAAAATCAAAATATTTATCTATATATATCAAAGAAAATGATTTATTAACCAGTGCGAGAGCCTTTACTACTAATCAGAAGTCATTTTAAAAGGGTGTCTCACTCAAAAATGATACCAGTTTTAGCAACGCAGGTTTTCAACAGCCAACTAGTAGTTTTGACTGAAATATATATATATATATATACTGTATATATATCCTCTCTTGTCCATGAATGTCTTGTTCCAGTAGTCCACTTCTCATCAGGTTGCCGTCAAATAGTAGAAGTGGCTGATACTGAAAAATCCTACCAGTGGCTGGACAAAGCTGGAATGAAAGACAGCACAGAGGCACTAATCCTGGCAGCACAA